GAAGACTCCTGAGAGCAGAGAGCTTCTTAATGTAGCAGTCAGCGAATGAAATTCAGATTGGAAATAATCTAACATTACTCTTTAATAGAGAGCAAAATTAACTGTTGAAACAGCCTACTGGGATTCTGAGCTTGATTCTCCATTTTTGGTGTTTAAGGCAGGAGGGGTATGCCCCCCAAAAGAGCTGTGCTAGCTTAGATATCAAACCCCTTTAGAAGAGAGGCCTGAATTCTAAGCTTAATTACAGTCTCTGGGTTGGGCTACAGATGCCCAACCAGATCTCTGTTGAAGTTAATGAGACTTGTACAGAGACATAGGGATATGACCTTTACCAGTAACATCTACTTTTGTAGCTCATTCATTGCCTCCTTGGCTCATTGGGGAAATAGGCTTCTGCTTAGGCTCTGTGCTTCCCTTCCTCATTTCTTCTCCTGATTTTTGAGCCTCTTCTGTGCTTTCTTACCACAGCTCTCCATTGACTGTCACTTCCATTCCATCCACTACAGCTAGCTAACACTGACCATGAAACAGGACTCTCGAGTTGACACTTCAGTTTAAGACGGGGTAGCAGAACAGGTCCTTCTGAACCACTTTCATGCTCTCTATAGACCTAGGCAGACAGAACTCTCTGTTGCTGGTCTCATTTGGGAGGGATTCTGCAGACATGAGCTAGAAACTTCTTTTTTAAAAAAGTCTGTGTCTCAAGCCATGTAAGTGTTCCACCTATTTTCAGCCATCAATCGTTGGGCTCCATGGCTGGGTGAAAGCATTATGCAGGACATGAGGCTAGGTGATCATAATAGTCCCATACCCACAAAGAGTTGTAGTGTGAGAGAGCAGGTTGGTTTGTGCTGAATTGATCTGACTTAATGGACTTGTTATACAGCCCTTCCCCCCAGGATGAGCTGTGCTGAAATGCATTGCTAAGGGTCCCTGCAAGGAATCAGTTCTTGCTATGCTCCCTTGAAGCTCGGGTTCCAAGGACTAATGACTGAGAAAGGCCTAGGGCCTATGTCCTGCCACCAAACCAACCTGGCTTGGCATTGCAATTGCCCATCCCCAAAATTCCACAGGTGCTCAAGGACACTGTTCAGGAACCTGCCATCGCTGGGGGAAGACTGCTCCTCCCCTGGCTCTAACCTAGCCTGACCTCCAGTCTACCATAGCCAGGGGAGGAAGATCATGAAGCTCCTTCCCTGGCCCTAACCTCCAGCCTACCATAGCCGGGGAGGGACAGTGTGTACCTGGTTCTTCTCCCCTGGCCTGGAGTCCCTGCCATGGCCCGAGCCAGAGCCTTCACACACTTACATCCCAATCCTCTGCCTGAGCCCCCTTCCACACTCAGAACCCCTTGCCCCGCTCCCACATAAATTGTATTGTGTCTAGACTACAGGGTTTTGTCAACAAAAGTGGACTTTTGTTGACAAAACTATACCTGCATCTACACTGCCGCTGAGTTCTGTCGACATAACTGAGCAGTTTTGTCAACAGCTGTAAACCTCATTCTACGAGGAATAACGCCTTTTGTCGAGTTCTGTTAACAGAAGGCTTTATTGCATCTGCACTGTCTTTTGTGACTTCGCTGTCATCTCGACAAAGCGGCTTGCTTTGTCGACAGAACTGGATGTAGTCTAGACGCTCTTTGTCGACAGAAGCCTTGTTGACAGTATCTGTTGACACAACTTCTGTCGACAAAAGCCTGCAGTCTAGATGTACCCTCAGTGTGCCAATATGGAGGTGATGTGCACCATGGAAGTGACACATGACACATAATAAATGTGTTTCACTTGGGTGGGAAGAATTTAAGGGAAAGCTATCTGTCACCTAGCAAGATACAGTGGCTAGCTCTAACAGAGCCCCTCATGCTACCCCTGCCATTCTTGTTTCAGGAAGCTGCAGATGGCTACCAGCGCTGCCTCATGGCCCAGTACAATCGCAACGACAACCCTGAGGAGGTCAAGAAGCGTGCTATGTCTGATCCTGAGGTGCAGCAGATCATGAGCGACCCAGCGATGCGGCTGATCCTGGAGCAGATGCAGAAAGATCCACAGGCACTGAGCGAGTGAGTGAGGCTGCCAGAATAGCACTTGGGTCTGGTTAAATCTAGCTCTAGGAATCACTGAACTATAGAAGAGATCTGCTTGGATCATGGGGACATCTCCTGAGGAGCCATATTGTGCTCCCTGCTGAATCAAATGGGGTGTGTTTCATAAGGAGCCGATATCGCTGCCTGCCTTAGCCTTTACCTGGTGCTGTTGGGTCCAAAGCCAGGATCCCGTGCTGGTCCATGTAGCAGGGTATCTTGTCCACATAAAGCCCATAGCACTTTCCCTAAGTGTTAGGGTGTTCACCCAAATTTCCTCATTCAGGAAAGTTTGGATTCCTTACAGCCCATTAGTTTCAATCATGCAAGATGTTCCTTAACCTCTCAAGCAGAGTTGTCCATTTGGCACCCTCCCCTCCCTCTTCTCTTCTCTCCCCCCCTCCCCCCCCCATGCTTTCCCTTTATAAAAATCCACTGGGCCCCAACCTGGATGCAGCAGCAGGAAGTGTCAAACTAAGTGCTTTAGAATAATACTATGTCTTCCTCTCTGCAGACACTTGAAGAACCCAGTAATAGCCCAGAAAATCCAGAAGCTGATGGATGTTGGATTGATTGCAATTCGGTGATGACTTTGCCATCCTGCTCTGCCCCATTGCCTATTCATAGGGCAGCTGGGACATTGGACACTGGCAGTACAAGGAAAAGGAAAGGGTATCTCAGTAGGAGACAAAGACTTGTACAGTATCATGCTCTTCACGGGCCCTGCTGCCCACATCACCCTTCCCAGTGCGAGGCCACCTAGCCACTTTCTCTCCTGTTCCTGTATTTCCAAGCAGCTTGTTTCATTGTTGAGCTGCCCCTCCCCTCTGTGCTCTTTTTGTTGGCAGAGGCCTGGGAGGTGGTGACTAACTGTTCGTTGTCTGGTTCTTCTGGCTGTGAGACTGCATTGCCATGCTGCGCTTCAAATAAAAGAGCAAAGCAGTCAACAGTGCTTCTTTGTGTGTCTGGTGTGGAGGCAGGAGGGACAAATCAAGGGAGGGTCTATTTAAATATCCTGGCGTGTGCATGCACGCTTTGGAAAGGTTGCATGTGTCCTCTTAGCAGCGAGAGTGCTCTGTGGTTGGTCATCCCACAGGGGGCGCTAAAAGTCACCTAGCTTCACATGTCAGTGGCTGTATCTCTCATACTGGTAAGTGAAATAGGAAGTGTTTCACTGACAAGCTAGTCAGGCGGGATCTGAGTCCTCTGTCAGCTTGCAACACCAGCAGGGTTATGTTAGCGCCACCCCAGTGCCTGCAGACTTTAAGTTTATGCACAGATGATACAGACTCTGGTCTCTACTGTGGAGAGCAGATGTCTGGGTTCTTCCTTGGAATTCCTGTGTTCAGGGGAGAAGATGAAGAGGTGGATAAGAGGGTGCTTCCCAGGAGAAATGACAAAACACCATGGTAGCTGGATTCACTCTGCCAGGGGAGTGTCAGGCTGCCAGTAGAGGACGCTACCCTGCCCTCTTGCTCTATGGGATACCCTTCCCCTGTCATGCGCTTATGACGTTGCAAGGAGACGTGGGCTGGGGATTGGATGGGGTGGAGAGCTGATGTACCTCATTCTCTTTGCTACCAGAGGGAGCTATGGCACTGGTGCATTTTCCCCGTGTCCTAGAAAACTTGAGTTCTGTAGCCCCAGTGCAGCTGCCAGCAGATCCCAGCTGCATCTACCCTCTTCCCCAGGTGACCTTAGGAGCCCCCATCCCCCTTCTCCAGAGGCTGTGCGCGTGCACAGAGGCCTCTGCTTTTATAAATATAGCACCCGCAGAGGCAGGAAGGGTGCTCTGCCGCAGAACAGGAACTAGTGCTAAGACAGGCTTAGCTGCTCAGATCCTAGTGTGATGCGTCAAAACAGTCTCCCTGCTGGGTGCTGTTCTCCTGCATTGATCTTTCCAGGGCTTGGCCAAATCTAAACTCTCTTGTAAGGAGAGAAGTGTGGGAATGGGAAGGTGGAAACTCAATGCCTCTAGTTTGTCCCATCCACTTCCCTCCACTTCAAGTGTGCTCTGACATGCCCCTTCTTTCCCTGAAGCCAGCCCCATTTTCTCCCTTCCCAGACAGACATCTGTTCAGGTGGATCATGGCTGTTGGCAATGTCCAAGGCTTTTTTCTTTGCTGCTGGAGTTGCTGATAGACTGCCAGCCAAGCCTGAAGGATTCTCCTTCGCTTTAGGGAAGATGGGGAGGGGCTAGGGATTCAGTTCTTATGAGTGGGGTCCAGTGGTTTAGAGTTGGGATGGCAGCATTCTCTGCTGCTAACTATGACCTAGGGGCAATCCAGGGAGCAAGACCTTGTTTCCAGGGGTGGGAAAGGGAGGGAGAGAGAAAAGCTCCCTAACACCCCAGAGACCGTTGCCATATAGGACTGGGTGCTTCTCAATGATGCCCCGAAATGCCAGTGGCCAGCTGCAATATGGGAATATAAGAATTGCAAGACCAGATTGTTGCAGTGAGTCCATTGGCCTCCGAGTTGAGTGTCTCTCACCCCTCCCCCCCAATATGCTTCCTGCTTCAGAGGAAGGTTCAAGTCACACTGGGGATATGCACACAGGGCACATTCCTCCCCCCAGCTCTGTCCTTATATGGCAACCCCCCTATGGCATTGCAGTCCCACTGAGTTAAGAGAGGGTGCTCTGTTTAGGGTGTTACAGATCAGGGTCCCTATGGCACTATGATGCTTCTGATACGAAGTGAGAGAGTGTCCCCAGTGGGAAGGCCCTCCATGCTGCCCACAGCAGTGTGGGCGTGTTCGTGTAAAGCAATCCTAGGGCTGTGGCAGGTGCCTGAACTGCCATTGGATCCTGATGCCAAGGACTTCCTGCACAAGGCAAATAATGCTGAGCCCTGGAGCAGTTGAGCAAACACTGCTGGGCGGTCTGAGAGGAAGTACATGGGCGGGGGGGGGAGGGGGCAAAGGAAACGCCTTAGAGCAACGGGTTGGAGTGATTTGACAGAGGTACGTTGGGAGGGTGGGAAACAGTCCAGGCTGGATCCCCATCTTTACTAGCTGAGCCAGCAGTGCCAGGAGCTTTGCCGGGAGCCCGCGGCAGAAACGGTAAGGGCTGACTTCATTCGGGGGAAGGCAGGGTAGAAGTTCTGCTTCAAAGTGCCTGGTAAGGCCTGGCTCCATCTGTCCCCCCCCTGCCAGTTTGCCATGTGCCCTAATGCACAATCCTCCACTCAAGTGGAAGATGGGACCCTGTATCAGAAAAGGCTTAGGGATGAGGTGCATGGAGATGTGATCTAGCTGGGTGGCACTTCCTACCAGCCATGGGGGAATTCCTCCTGAACAGCTTTGGGGGGGAAGGGGACTGTCCCTGAGGCTGGGGCTCAGTGTCTGGTTCTATACCCTACTTCTAGGGCCATGGCATTTACCCACCCGCTGGTTTGAATCAGCCCTTGTGGTCTTTAGCCATGAACTAGGGCTCAGGCAATAAAGTAGGGTTCAACCTAGGAGCTGGGGAGTCTGGGTCCTCTGGCTTCATTCCCAGCTCCGGTTGGGGAGTGAGAGCTGATTGGTGGGGTGCCCCCGTAATGTCCTGACTCCCAGCTATCCTTGCTCTAACCTACTCAACCCCGCTTCCCTCCATCTGCTGGGAGAGAACCCATGAGCCCGGATCTCTGGCCTGGTGAGCTGGGGTCCAGTGGAACCATGGTCCCCTTGCTGTTTGTGGGGCAGACTCTCCAGCACCACCTGCAGGGACCCAGATTCCCTGGCTCCCATCCAGTGATCCTGGCCCCTGCAGCCTCCAAGCACAGCACTTGTCCAGCCTAGGGCTGGTGAATGGGAGCAGTGGTCCAGCTGTTTCTGCCTCCCACTCACCATGTGTTGAGAAAAGACAAATCCTCTCTCTCCCTGGAACAGGCAGGGTGCATTGGTGGACTGTGGCAGTCAGTCTCCTCTCTCCATCCCCTTGTACCACCCTGGTGCTACTGACCCCCAGAGTGGGGAAGGGACAAATCACCCCCTTCTTACACTGCTAATTGAAGCTGGGTGCCCTAATGCACAATCCTGACTGCCAGCCCCCCTGTAGTAACCCCCCTGCTTCAGTCTCCCTCCTGACCTTTGTGCCACATTCATTCCAGGGCTCGCCATGGCCGGGTTGAAGACAGCAAGCGGGGATTACATTGATGCCTCCTGGGAGCTGCGTGTGGTTGTAGAGGAGCTGGGGACTGAAGCTGAGCCCCTCACCCTGCGAGTCACCGGGGACATGCACATTGGCGGTGTCATGCTGCAGATTGTGAATCAGATGGGTGAGTGTGGGGGGGCCCTCTGCTGCTGTGGGTTGCATGGGGGGGGTGTCCGCTCTCATTAAGTCCCCTCCCCACTTTACATACTTCTCCCCACAACAGGTGAGCCCTGGCATGGATAGTAGGGTTCTGTCCCTTTAAATCTCCTGCTGCACTTCCTCTCCCTCTCCCTCCCCCTTAGCCACCAGCTTCCTGCTGTAGGATTCCCAGCATCACCCATTTTAGCATCAGAGAGGTTTTCCCCAACCCACGACACCTCAAATTGCTCTAGCCCAGAGCTAGAAATGGAACCCAGGAATCCTGATGCCCAGCACACCCCTGCTCTAACCACTAGACCCTACGTCCTGCGCTTCCTGTCAGTCTCACATGATGCCAGCTGAGTCATGATCCTGATGCAGGGTAGTGACTCCCAATCATCCAGTTCCAGACCACCCTCACTTCCTGTCTCTCCCCTCTTACACCCTGCAGCATCAGGCTCGGGCTGGGGCACTACCCCCATCCCCAATTCCCCCAGAATTGCCCTCTGTGTCAGGGATGCACATGCCATCTGTGAGGGTCACCCATGGGCTGGGCCAATCCTGGAACAACTGCTGGGCTCTGGTCTGCCCCACTGTCTGCCCTGTATTAGTGATAATCCATCTGTCCCACACATCCCTCTTCATCTATTTGTCTGTCCTCACATGCCCCCCTCTGTCCTGCACTCCCCCTGCCCCCATCTCTCCACAATCCAAGGTACCAATGAGGGAGAGACCTGGTGGGAGGAGGTGCCCACGGATCAATCCAACAGGAAGTGACTTCTTATCTGCCCAGGACACAAGGTGGGCCTGTGCCATGCCTTCCTGTGGCCAGTCTATGTGGTTAGGGGCCCTACTCCGGCAGTGCCCGATAGTAGCTGGAGCTGCAGTTGCTGAAGGCTGTGAGGCCCGCACCCTGGATGAGGGCTGATAAGGGGCCAGCTAGCCAGAGCCTATGGTTATAAATAGCCTCCAGGGCTTGGGATTCTATTCCTGGTTTGTGGGGGGAGGGGGAGCGGTTAGTGGGTATGAGAAGACTGAGCTGGGAATCAGGACACCTGGCTTGTCTCCCACTCCAAGAGGGAAATGGGGTCTAGTGGTTAGTGTGGGGAAGCTGGGGGCCTGCCCCAGTAGCCAGGAATCTGGTTTAGCTGTCTGTAGTTGTACTGTGTGTCGCTTGCACAGTTCAGCTCCTGGGGTTGCAGTATCCTCCCTAGCCTGTGGGCTACCTACTGGATCCCTCCTGAGATGGCACTGGCTGCATCTCAGTGCTGGGCGTGGGATCCCTGTGCAAACGACTGTGCTCTGCCCCCAGAGGTGAAGCAGGACTGGTCAGACCATGGGCTTTGGTGGGAGCAGAAGAAACTCTGGCTGCTCAAGACCAACTGGACCCTGGATAAGTATGGGCTGCAGGCAGATGCCCGTCTCCGGTACACACGTCAGCACAAGGCTGTGCGGCTGCAGTTGCCCAACCGGCGGATGATCCGTGTCCGCGCCAGCTTCTCTGAGCCTGTCTTCCGTGCTGTGGCTGGCATCTGCCGGGTGCTGAGTGAGTGTCCGGGATGCAATGTGGCATAAATGGGCCAGGGTGGAGAAGGATGCAGGGAGAGCATCTGGGATCGGCAAGAGGTGTGGAGGAGGGAAGGGCAAAGCGCACAGAGGGGTAGGAGGTGTGGAGGTGCAGGGGGTAAGGGCGGCAATGCTTAAAGTGGTCTGGAAAAAGTGCATGGGGAGTCATTAAAGTGACCTCACATCTACCTAGCTCCTGGGGCTCTTCCCCACTGTCTGCCCGTTTCTAGCTGGGGAGTGGAGCCCAGATGGGCCAGTGGAGGAGTGACCCAGGGAGCAGTAGGGGGAGGAATGCAAGAGGGGTAAGGGAAGGGGCTGGGAGCAAGCAAAAGTAGCGAGAAAAGCCTGGGTGGGTACAGGGATGGGGCTTTTGGGAGAGAGGAGCAGGGAGCCCAGGCAGAAGGAATGAGGGAAGGGGGCCACAGGGAGCAGGGGGAAGGCCCCTTTCTGGGAAGCTCCCTCACCCCATGTTCCCTCCCTGCAGGTATCCGTCATGCAGAGGAGCTGTCACTGCTGCGGGCACCAGAGGAGAAGGAAAAGAAGAAGCGGAAGGGACCGGTGCTGGAGACAGAGGATGAGTTTGACCTGGGCGGGGTGGTGCTGCCAGCCAGTGAGCACAAGCGCGGGGGGTGGGCAGGGGCCTGAGGGTGCTCTCCTGCAAGCGCAGGGATGAGTGTGTGTGCTAGTGCATCAGTGTGAGTCCCTGGGAGAGCACCCCTATGTGCTCGTGCCAGACTAGCAGGCACAAGTGCTGGCGTGAGAAGCTGTGTGTGCCCCTGGCAGGATGTCTGTCTGGGCGCCACTAACCCCCCTCCCAATCCCCGCAGGCGCAGAGCAGCAGCCGTTCCGGGGAATGCCGGCCCATTTCTCGGACAGTCCTGCCACCGAGGCCTGTTACCGGATGCTGTCAGTGAGCTGGGCTGGCCTGAGCCCTGAGCATGTGCTGAAAATGCCTCGGCCCAGCAACCTTGTGGAGAAGGCTCAGATCAACAGCCGGTGAGAGGAGAGGGGTGGCTGTGGGGTGGGATTGACAGGCACCGGCATAACTGGCAGGGAGGGGGCAGCACCACAGCCAGGTCACATCAGGGCTTTCCAGGGTACTCTGAACCCTCAGCCTTTCTACTGTCTCTAACGGCAGCGGGGCATGCCGGGCCATGGGGTTAGGGGAGCCCCATGACTCCAGCATGCCTAGGCAGGGCCCTGGGCTCCAGCGCTCCATGTGTCTGCGTCTCTCCCCAGCATTCCCCAGAGTTCAGAGCCCTGCAACGACCCAGTGCAGCCTGTTCAGAGCAAGCTGGTGTTTCAGGGCCCTCAGCCCAGAGACCATGCTGGCAGCCACCTGCCCCTTTCCCCAGCTCTTGCCAGTCTCCTCTGTCTCTACCCTGGACCTGGGCTAGAGTTTTTGACATAGTTTCCAAGAGAACCCTCCTTCCCTTGCTGCATGCAAGAGGCCCACTGCTTCTGAGTCCGGAGGAAACCTTGTGCTGGGCTGACCTTCCAGCCTTACCAAACAGGGCATGGAGGGAGCCTCCCCAGCTACATGGGCAGCCCAGTTCCTAGTCCAGCCTTGGTGACTGAGCTTCCCCTGCCAGGGGTCACAGTTTCTATCTACATGGAAGTGCCTCTGCCAGCTGAGCTTCCCCAGTTAGAGCAGCCAAAGCCCTTCCATGCCGGTCCCATGGTGTCCACAAGAGGGCTGGTGCTCTGCAGGGACACAGCGCTCTGCTAGGCAAAGTGTAGGCCAGGCGGAAGCCACCTCCTGTCTCTGAACTCCAAATGCCCTGGTGCTGGTCACACAGTCAGCTTCCGTTGCTGGCGGTGGGGGCTGGCCAGCAGGGCTCCAGGTATCGCTCTAGGGCTTCTGGCCTAGGGACAGTGCTTGATGGTGCATCCCCCAACTATAGTGAGACTCACAGCTGTCCCGTCTCCTCTGCCCTAGAGAGGGAAGTAACCTCTTCCCACCAGGGGCTGGCAATCCCAAGAGGGGAACTGAATCACACCTGCTCTGACAAATATGACCATTCCCATGTTGCCCCCAGGTGGCTGAGCTCCTCGCGGTCGCTGATGCAGCAGGACGTGCGGGAGAATGAGCAGCTTTGGCTGCGGTTCAAATATTACAGCTTCTTTGATCTGGAGCCCAAGGTGGGACCCTCCTGGATCCTAATCCTCCTCCCCTGGGCTTTCCTGT